GTTGCATCCATTAAGAACTAATTCTTGTACGGATGGTGGCACCCAAGTATTCTCTACATCAATATCGGTCAACTCTAACCTTTTAATACGCCCTTCTACTAATTTGGAAGGAAACGAATGATATCTTCCACAGAATTGTAGAAGTACACGCTCTGCATTAGGATGGTCCCACTCTAAAGATTTCCAGCATTCATGTGGCCATACTACGATTTGTTTGAGGGAAGGAGGAGGAGATGGTTGTCCATTTTCAAGTTGGGGAAGATAAAGAGGGAACCTTCTTAGGCTATAGCAATTCCAAATTATAATCCATTCAAGAGAATCACATACCATTGCTGCTCTCTCCCAACAGATGCTCTTCAACTTGGGCAAATCTCCCAATTCTAACCTCTTTAGTTTTGGAAGGAGCAGTTGGATCATCCCTTCTGAATCCGGTGCAACCGAAGATGAGAGTAGGTATTCGAGATTTTCACAGTCATGAATAATTAATTTCTCCAGTTTCTCCAAACAAGATATCATCGAAATCTGCCATATCATGTTAATATGCCCAATCGAGCACAATTGCAACTCCTCTAGGTTTGATGAAAACACAACCTGCACAGGATATAATTCTTTTTATTACAAAAATTTATCATTTTGTCTATAAATAAGAAAAAGGATTATCATGTACATCTTGGGCTTCACCATACAAGTCAAAATGTGTCCTTAGGGGACTTTTGGTTGTAATTAAGAGGTTGAGGCATCACACTGGGATTTAGACTCAAATCGGTGAGGGTTATTCCCCTATTTTATTATTTCATCTTAATGATGTTGTTTGTTTTAAAGTTTTTAATAAAGTTTTTTATTTTTATTTTCGATTAATTAAATATATTTAAAATTTTTGTGAAATTGTATAGTAGTTTCATTAGTTAGGTTCTGTCTTGATTAGAAAAATAAATGTTAATGAAAATGTTTTTTTTTTTAATTTTAATTTGCAAAATAAAGGAATTTATACACATGTAGTTTTGTTATATATTAATTTACAAATAAATATAAAAATAAAAAGTTGAGGAAAATAGCCTACACATCATGACAATAAAAGCAAAAGGATTAGAACAATTATAGCTCCTAAAATTAAAGGTAAAATGCAATTGAATTGAAGAAATAATTACCTTTTCCTCCAAAAGTGATGGTATGAAGTATGTGACATTTGTACCTGAAAAATATTTAATGAATCTCTCAAAATTTATGCAGTTCAATATTTGTAATTGTTTTAAGGATGAGAATTCTACAGTATAATTTCCTATGCCAAAACTGACAAGGTTTTGAAGGTCTTCTATCATCAGAAAAGTCAATTGAGGAAAAATCAAAATTTTTTTTTCTTCATTACAATTAGCCGCAATAATCTCTCTCATCCTTTGGCATTTCTTTACTTGCAAGTGTCTAAGCTTCAACAATCCTGTTGCTATAGAAGATGTGAATAGGTATTCCAAATTGTCACAACCATGAATGATCAACTTTGTCAGTCTCTTGATACGAGATGTCATTGAATTGAACCATATGGTATTATCAACCATAATTGAGAACAATTGCAATTCCTCTAAGTTTGAAAACACAACCTACACAATAAATAGTTCTTTTTATGAGATAAAGGCTTATCATTTTGTTTATAGAAAAGAACAAGGATTCTCTTATATACACAACAATAATATAATTATAATATCACGTGTATAGGATTATAAATTTACAAATTAAATAAAAAAATCCAATATCACTTATAAAACACTAAATAAAAAAATCATTTATATAATAACATGTAATGATTACAAATTTAAAATGGCATATCATTTTAAATATATCATTGTCATATCTTATTCACCTTCGTATTACCTTCTTTATCAAAGATATTATGTTGAAATACACTTATTAAATGCACTTTTTGGTTTTTATTTTTGATAAATTAAATTTATTGAACACATTTTTTAATTTTCTTGCACTTTCACGAAGTTTAATTACTGTATAATTTTCTATTTGATAAACTATTATATAAATACTCTACTCAATGGAAAGTAAACAATTCAACCGTATATTATTCTTCTATTAATCTAACCCCAACTCACCATAATACTCTACTACAAATAGAAAAATAGATAGAAATCTAGGTGGTAGCTTTGGAAAGAACAAAAATGGGAAAAAAAAAATTAAATACCTTTTCATTGAAAAATGTCATGTTCAGGCAACTACTGTTGAAGCTAATCAGCTTTGGTAGACGTTGTAACTTCAAGGATCGCAGAGTAATTAATTCCACAATATGTCCTTCACGTTCTTCAGCACTATTCCCACTCTCTTGCTCTTTGTCATCAATAATCTCTTCCATGTCACTGCAGTGTTTCACTCTAATTTCTTGTAGTTGCTGAAGCTGTCGGGCTATAGAGGCGGAGAACAAATTCTTCAACTTGTTACAACATTCAATAGTTATCAACCTCAATTTTCTAAAAGAAGCTGCTTCTAGTGGACCATGACATATCTTCTCCATATTTTCCAAATTGCGAAGAACTAATACCTCCAATACAGGAAATGCAGGCTTCACTGAGATGATTCGTTGAATCTCCAAAGCATCTTGGACAAAGAGATACCTCAATTCTTGGAAACCGTCGTTATCTAACTCATTGACTAGATTTTTAGCACCAATCAATCCTTCTAGATGTAGTTCATTTGTCTTCTTTAGCAACTTCCTAACTGAGTGGTGAGAACTAATTCTTGCGTCTGGCTTTAGCTTCAATAATGTTGAAACTCCCCATGAACTACTCCAGTGGTTCCACCTGTCTCCCAAGAAAACTTTGAATCTTGCCAAATTTTCAGAGAACAAGCCTACCGGAATCTTCTGAATATTGCAAATAACATGTAGCTCTATAGAAGTCAACAACAATAAAGGCTGCAACTCTGCTAGGCTAGCATTTTGATTTTCATGCTCCTCAATGCCCTCCGCCCATTGAACAAAGCTGTTTCTCATATATAGTTCTTCTAATCCTGACAAATTTGACAAGACACCTGGTGGAATTACTTTGAGCTCGGTACAATCACTCAAATCTAACAACTTCAGGTTGGTTAGCTGCCCTATTTGCTTTGGCAACTCTTTGATATCAGATCCTGCAAGGCTGAGGACTTGCAAGTTCTCCAGCTCTCCCATCATTGTGCCTATGTTTGCGGCTCCTAACTCAACTTGATCCAGACACAAAGTACGAAGGTTTTTGGGGGGGGGAATTAAGGAAGGGATTGACAAAAAATTCATTTTGGACAAACTCAAAACTTTGAGTCCTTCCTTATCCCTAAACAAGTTTGGTGGACTTGCCAGAGAAGGACCCTCTTTAGAAAAATGAAAGAAGGTGAGTTTCGGACATTTCAACTCATCTGGAAGCAGACTGGTGTCCCCATTTGATAAATAAATCCACTTGATGCTCTCCATCGCCTCCATGTGTGACCAGTTGATTGGTGCTTCTTCTGTTAAAGCCAACACGCCATACTCCTTGGAGACAGTCGATGTGGCAAAATCTCGAACAAGATCGTGCATATCAAAGTACAAACTGCTACCACTATCCAGCAACAAAGAAGAATCTCTGAGTTTCGTCACCAAATTTAGCACTTGAGCTCGTGCTTCCTCTATAGATTTGACTTCTGGGAATAAGCCCAAGCCTATAACATATTTCAACAAGTTTTGAATGGTTGCATTCTGACCTAGTAGACTGCAAAGCAAGAAAATTTGTTGGAGTTCGTTGCTTTTCAAATCACTGTAATGCAACTTGATAGCTGAATACAGGCTTTGTGGTATCTGACTTGAATTCAGCTGATCAAAGGGCAGGCTTTGTAGCTTTCGTAAAGTAGTCTTCCACTCAATCAGATTCCTTCTTCTCAAGGCATTTGCGAGTGTTGCAACAGCAATGGGCAAGTCCTCACACTTCTTGGTAATCTCATTTGCATAAAACGGCAAACCACGACTTTTATCTGGATCATCAGCTATCTTCTTAAATAGGTTCCATGCGTCTCCCCCAGCTAAGCTGCCAATTTCAATTTGTGTCTCCGATATATGAGATACAACATCTCTATCTCTAGAGGTCAGCAGAAGTTTGTAAGATACAACATTGTCTTCTTCCTTCCCATTTATTCCAATCAACTCCAAAGATAATTCTGGCTCCCATAAGTCGTCCAAAATCACGAGGACCTTCTTTTCTATCAGCCCTGTCTCTTCATTAGAAACACGTGCAATTTCATCTTGAATTCTTGGTAAGTCTGGACTCCTACCAACAGTTGCCATTAGAACTGCATCAAACAATCTCTCTTGCTCAGCTCTTCTTTTAACTTCTCTAACCATCATTGTCTTCCCCATACCAGGCTTCCCGTACACTCCTATCTTGTTGATGCCAGGACTTCGTAGTGCCTCCATGATGTCCTTCAAAACACCACTTCTCGATTCAAAGTCCTCAAAACGATCAGCAGCCACTTTCTCTTGTCGATAGGAAAGTGGGATGTAGGAGAATCCACGAGCTTCTTGAACACGTGCAGCAATATCCTTGCATATCTGCTCCGCCTTCTTTCTAAGTTGGAAAAGAGACTTCCCACGTTTCCCAACATCTTCTAGCAAATAGTGTGCTCTCTGAATGAAATTTGATGTGATCTCCAACCAATTCTGGAGTGCTTCAGTTCTGCTACTGTAAAAATCTTCAGTATAGCGCTTCACACTCTCTTTCTCGTCCTCCAA